TTCCTCTCCACCCCATCATGCCCAGAGGCATTGAAATTCATTCTCCATAAGACTCAGGGGAATTCCAATTCCTTACTACAGGATGTATCTGCTCAGTTTTCATTAGCTGACCACCAACTGCATATAAGGTATTGGAGCCTAGAGGAAGTCAGTACCTGGTCAGGGCAGAGAGATGCCAGTTCCTACACCAAACCTGAACAGGACAGCCAAGTGAAAGAATACTGGGGAAGATTTGAGGGCTCGGTGCTGGGGCCACTCAGAGGAAGACTTACTGGAGGAAGCAGCATTCTGACTGGGATTCTGATGAGGTAGATAAGGGCAAGAGATAGAGAAATTACAAAGAAATTCAGCAAAGCCAGGGAGCATTTGGCAGATAGTTGAAGCTTGGATCTTGGAGCATTTCTGGACCTAATCTGTGCAAGAGGTGTAATGATAATATAAAGCCCTACAACCACCCCCACCCCCACCCCAGCAGCTTATAGCGCAGTCCCTTCATTCGACCTGAAGTTTCTTTTGGCCCCAAGAGAAGGTATGATGAGTATGTGGAAGGGAAGCGGGAAGATGTCATTCAGGTTTTTTTCTTCTGGGAAAGATAGGCTTGTTGCTTAAGCCCTCTGAGGTTCAACCTCAATCATCTTAATTACTGTGTGGCAAGTTACTTAATTTGTCTGTGACTTGGTTACCTCATTTGGAAAATGGCAACAGCATCAAAGTTCTAGGCTGGGTGAGTGTTACACACAATCCAGATAAGCCACTTAGGATTTAAGTGCTCTTTTAACTTTGCTGTATTTATTTATGATTATTATTTTTAAGATAACCGTACTTGCCCCATAGGGTTGTAGGAGTTAGACAAAGAATATACAGTAATACCTAGAACATGATAGGCATTCAATAAATTCTATCGATTATTATCATCATCATTAACTACATTTACTCCCATGTTACTCCCTTTTGATCTACCACCCACCAAAATAAAGTAAAATAAACCCTTACTATTGAATCTTTTCAGACTCCATTGGCTTTCTAAGACTAAATCTTTTTTTTTTTTTTTTATTTTATTTTGTGTGCGTGTACCGTCAAATCAGATCTGACTGGTACAGGAGGATATTGCGCCTCCTTCTCCGGCAGAGCATCTGGTGGATTCGAACCGCGTTCCTCTGGGATTGCAGTGCAGCTTCTTGCCACTAGGCCACCAGAGCTCCCCTAAAGACTAAATCTTAATGTGAGGAGACTGCTTCATATTCCTCCTACAGTGAATCCCCTCAATAGACACAAAACCTGGATATTGAATAAGGAAGACAGAAGAATCGATGTCTTTAAATTACGATGTTGGTGAAACATATGAAACATTCCATGGACTTCTCAAAGAATGAACAAACCTGTCTTGGAAGAAGCATCACCAGAATGTTCCCAAGAAGCGAGGATGGTGAGGTTTTACCTCATGTACTTTAAACATGTCATCAGGAAGGATCCGCCTGTGGAGAAGCACCTCATACTTGATAAAGTAGAGGGTTGTGAAGCATCTCAAAAAAATAGAATGTACAATAATAAGCATAAAATAAGATTGTCTATCTGTCATGGAAAAATATCACACACTTTAACAAAAAAGGTAAGGAATGTCAAGAAAGAGGAAGACACTCAATGAGATACAGTGACAAAGGGTTGCAACAATAGACTTAAACATAGCAATGATGATGAGCATGGCACGGTGCCAGGCAGGGTTTCCGAGGGTTGCTGTGAGTTGGAACTGACTCAATGGCACCTAAATAACAATAGATCTTTCCTTGTCTGAAGAGGCTAGTTTCCTAGCAGGGATCTCTGGTGGCATAGTCCATAGGGAGTTGCATTGCTAAGCCAAAGGCTGGTGGAGAGCCAAATGCCTCTCTGGTGGTTCAAATCCACCAGCAGCTCCTTGGAAGAAAGAGAGGCAATTTCCTCCCATGCAAGTTACAATCTCAGAAACCTAATGGATGGTCAGCTATGAGTTGGTTCTGATTCACGACAATGATTTTGTATGTTTTAATTCCCTGAGAGGCTCTTTAAGTGTAATCTGGGGTGGACACTAGACTAAATGCCCTGTCCCTCCCTTACTAATGCTTTATCCTGGGCCAGGGTGTCATTAGGAGCTTTGATGTGGATGGAATGGGTCTAGGACTGGTTACATTTTGAAGAGACAGTGAAGTCCAGACACAGGACCACTCACTGGCCAATAAAAGACACTCTGTGTCCTTTGGCAGGTATGCATTATTTGGTGGAGGATGGTAAGAATGGGAAGGAGATATTCAAAAGGGATAGGATTTTAGTGTAGAGGATGAAGAGAAAACAGCAGCTATGTCTGTCTTCACACAGTTGGATCTGTTTGAGCCGTTTCAGGGAAGGTGCTGGAAGAGTGAGCCTGATAATGCAGATGATGGAGAAAGGGAGACAGGCTAGGGCAGGGGTGTGGGAGAAGCCAAACTCCATTTACTCCATTTGAAGTTGAGTCATGCCAGGAGTTGAATTAAGATTTTAGCAACCTCAAACCCTAGATATTTTCTCTACATACAGTGAGAGAAAGAAACACACACACATACACACACACACACACACACACACACACACACACACACACACACCCCTGCCTACACATAATCCAAAATAAAGTATTATTTTGGGAATTGACAACTTCCTGGCTCCTAAAATTAAACCAGCAACCTTCTGGATTTTCTAATTGCAAAATTTATGTTCATCAAAGCTGGATTCTTTTTCTCTCTCTTTTTATTGTTTGGAGCTTCTTCCCAAAGAACACTCTTTTCTCTCTTTACAGAGTGCTTTTTCCCTTTTCAAAGAACCTTTTCACATATCTTATCTTCCCAACAACTCACTTTTCTCAGTCCCATTAATATCTGACTCATCTCAGATTCCACAGGACCTTCCTTCTCACCGAGGGTTTCTAGCCATCCCTTGGACAGAAGCTCCTCCACCAGCTTTTCTGCCTGTTAGAAAGCAAGGGAAAAGGTCCTGCCCTTCCCAGAAGACTTTTCAGGTGCAGACAAGATATAAAGTGTATGCAAAAAGGGCAACAGACCAGCACTGAGCAAGTGTGTGAGATAAATCAATGAATGAATAATGTATTGGCAATTAATATTGTATGTTAGCTTGGAGAGATGGAGGGCAGTGTGGAGGCTTCCAATTCTCTTTTGTTCCATCCAATGTGGAAGGCTTCAAGGAGGAGGTGAAGTTTCAAGGCATTTCTTTAGTCTGACATCTCAGAGAGAAAGGAAGGGGATTGTGCCCCAGTTTCTGCAGAGCAGAACTCGGAAGCCCAGAGACAGAAAGTGACTCATTCAAGGTCACACAGCGCATCAGTGACAGCTGGGGCTAAAAACAGATCTGACTTCTGGTCAGGTGCTGCCATCACTGGGCTCCTCCATCTCCCCCACAAGCCTGCCTGGAGGTGGGACCTGGAGGAGTGGATAGGAAGTGCCTGGTAGGCAGTTTGGTAGCCCTGTGGTGTTTTCATTTCTGAGCTGCCTGCCAGCAGCTTGCACAGAGGTGAGCAGGACACTCTGGAAGACAAAAACACTTTAAAAACAGCCTCTTTCCATCCTCCCACCAGCTGGCTTCACACTTGCAAATTGGGTTTATCACCTGCCTGGTGGAACAGAGGCTGTTGCCAGCTGTGCCCTGAATCTGGAGACCAGGGTGCTGGGAATCTTGGAATTGTGTCTCTCTTTGTCCATGACTCGTGCCAGGGCTTAAAGCCACCCTGAATACCGGTGCCTTCACAAGCCCCTCAGTCTGAGGATGTGTCTAAAGTTAGGATGAAATTCTAGCCTGATTCACTTCACGGCATATATAGACTGTGGCAAATAGGGCACAGGACCAGCTATCATGCTAAGCACTTTACCCATGTAAGGCATGAGGCCTGGTGTTGCCAACCAGTTGATTAGAATTTATAGTGAATCTATAAACAAGAGATTGGAACTTTGCTCTAATCCTCACCATCTCCACCTCAAGCTCATTGTTGTAGTCTCTGTGTCAGTCCAAATCATTGAAGATCTTCTCTTTCTCCGACCCTCCACCTTTCCTAGAGTGATGCCTTTTTTCCAAGGACTGGTTTCTCCTAACAACATGCCCAAAATACATGACATGAAGTTTCACTACTTTTGCCCCTAGGGAGCACCCTGGTTGCACTACCTCTAAGACAGATCTACTTGTTCTTTTGGAATAGTCAATACTCTTCGCCAACACTACATATTCAGAAGCATCACTTGTTCTTTGGTCTTCTTTCTCATTGTCCAACTTTCAGATGCATATGAAACAGCTGAAAATACATGGCTTGGTCAGGCACACCTTAGTTTTGAAACTCGTACCTTTGCTCTTTAGCACTTTGGACAAGTCCTTGACAGAAGATTTTCCCAATGCAACATATCTTTATTTCTTGACTGTTGTTACCATGAGTGTTGATTGTGGATCCAAGGAAAATTAAATTATTGATAACTTTAAACATTTGTCCATCTATGATGTTGCCTGTTGATCTACAGATAGTGGTGAGGGTTTTCTTTTCTCAAGGTTGAGATGTAATCCATTTTGAAGGCTATAATCTTTGATCTTCAGTGAGTGCTTCAAATTTTTTTGAAAACTCTACGAATAAGTATGACTACTAGCCCCATTATAAAGTTAGGGAAACTGACTCCCAAGAAGGTTTAGATAAGTTGCCCAAGATTACACAACTGGTGATTTAAACCTAGACAACCTGATTGCAAAAGGCATAGTTTTAACAACTTTGAATGAAGTTGATATTTATTGAGGGTTCTACTGTGTATGGAAAATTTTACATCCATGATCTCATTAAGGTGTTGTTATCCATACTTTACAGATGAAGAAATTGAGGCTCAGTGGGTCACTTGGAGCAAGCCCTCTTAAAAAATACAATCAAATGCCATGATCTATGTAAGGTAGCTCCCCCTCTTTCTCTTGGGCTTGGATCAGGCGGCAGCCAGGTTCTATCCTCCGCCATGGCCAAAATCAAGGCTGGGGACCTTCGCGGCAAGAAGAAGGAGGAGCTGTTGAAACAGCTGGACGATCTGAAAGTGGAGCTTGCCCAGCTCCGCGTCGTCAAAGTGACAGGCGGTGCGACTTCTATGCTCTCAAAAAATCCGAGTTGTCCGAAAATCCACTGCCCGTGTTCCTACTGTTATTAACCAGACTCAGAAGGAGAACCTCAGAAAATACTATAAGGCCAAGAAGTACAAAGCCCTGGATCTGCCGCCCAGGAAAACACGTGCCACGCGCCGAAGGCTCAACAAGCACGAGGAGAACCTGAAGACCAAGAAGCAGCAGCGAAAGGAGCGCCTGTACCCCCTGCGGAAATACGCAGTCGAGGCCTGAACTTCTTACATAAATAAAACACAAAACTTAAAAAAAAATTCCTCTAATAGAAAAAAGTAGTAAGACTGTGTCCTGTCAAAGGTGGGTAAAGTTGCAACAGCCAGAAAAGTAAGCTAAGTTCCAGCTTTCAACGAATTTCTCGGTATAGATATTTTAAGATTGTGCTCCCGAACAGGCTTGATACTATCGCCATCTAGTGGTGTGATACCTTAAATGCAGGCAGACTAAGAATTCTAGGTTTAGCACACATTTGTTTTTATTTTTTATGTCTTATTGTTTTATTTCCTTCACGAGGCTTGGGAACTGGAGTCTCCCTCCACTCTGGAAGTCCCAAGCCAAAGGTGGGTGACTCTATTCCACGGCCTTCGGGCCTGCCTTTAATTGTTTTTGGTGAAACATTCTTCTAGGTTGTGTAACCCTGATATGTCCACTTGCTGTACAGAGGTAACTCGTGGTCGCTGTGAAGCCGAACACTGTGACACTAATGAGTCAAATGCGAGAATGTTCATCAATGGTGGACAGTGTTTGATGGAGCTCCCGGATTAAAACAAGCTTGGAAGCAGGAGTGTCATCCACTTCCATAATAGCTTGCCTCTGGAAACCCTATGAACCTGGAGAAAGGACGAAAGTTATACAGATGTCCAGGACTTTCACTCATGGGGTCGCTATGAGTCTCCTACGACTCGACGGCACTTAACAACAAAGTTTTATTAACAATATGAATATATATATGTATA